CAGTTGAAGATTTCCTTTACATGTTTCATTGCATACAGGTAGTCCTTCACATAAGACCATAGCTGGGACTGAAATTTCCATATCTAACCAATGCGGTGGTTAAGTGAGTTTTGGCCCAATTTTACGACCTTTTTCGCCAGAGTCGTTAAGCAAATCTGGATGCCCTCGTTGACTTATCAGAAGCCCCCTGAGAGATGACAGACGGTGATCACATGTTCCCAGAACACTGCAACCATCTATTGTGGCCTGTTGTCTGCTGGTCCCTCCAGGAGCCAAATTAGATGACGAGGCGATGTGGGGATCAGGGACAGGATGAAAGCAATCTGAGAGCTCCGAGGGGAAAGAGGGAATGGAGTTGTCAGAGATAGAAACAGAGGCAGAGTTTGGGCCCTCAGATGGAGAGTCAACAACTTCCAGGTCTGGAGGTGGCTGATGAGGAAGAGGAGGAACAGCTGGGTCCAGTGCCTGACGTGCAGATATGCAGAAGGCAGAGGAGAGGAGAGCAGTGGAAATCCATGGGCCGGTCCTTGGGACGGAAGAGCCACTGCTGCTAGCGAAGCCCCACCCTAGCTCTGGGGATAAAAGGCAGGGGGCAGAGATGAATAGATGGGGCAGACAACTATTTATCTCCCTGCCGGACAGACTTGTCAGCCTGAGAGAGAAACGTTTTTGCCGGAACTGCCGGCATTCCTAATAAAGGAATCTTTTGAGTTCATGTCGCGTTTGGGGAGCTGGGTCAGAACACACGGTATATAAGCCAGAGAGATACCAACCTTATCTGATTCATAGGCTCCTAACCTACAGCTGAGATCCGCATAACCCCAAGCAAAAGTTTTATTCCAGGTGGGCGGAAGGAGAACTTTGTTCATTTCTACGGCCAAAATTCCTTTGTCTGTGCATACGATCTGCCCGACCAGCTCCTTCAGTTCTGTTTTTAAAGGAAAAAAACAAAAAAACAGATAATCAGAATTCACATTTTTTTATCTTTTCATAAAGAGCACTTCCCTAATGAGATTTGAAGAAAAACGAACTAGGGGCATACAGGTGGTCCTTGACGTACGACAAGATCTGCCAAAAGCTACATTTCACCCGATTTGAAGTTGTGAAGTTATCACGTGATCGCAGTTTCAGTGCTTGGCAACTGTCTCACCTTTACGACTGTTGCAGCATCCCATAGTCAAATGACCATAGCAATAGCAATTGCACTTAAGCCTTTTATACTGCTTCACAGTGCTTTACAGCCCTCTCTAAGCAGTTTACAGAGTCAGCCTATTGCCCGCAACAATCTGGGTCCTCATTTTACCCACCTCGGAAGGATGGAACGCTGAGTCTATCCTGAGCCTGGTGAGATTCGATCTGCCGAACTGCTGGCAGCCAGTGATCGGCAGAAGTAGCCTGCAGTACTTGCACTCTAACCACTGCGCCACCACGGCTCTTGTTTTCATATGCTCATAGTTTTCAATTCTATTTTATTTTGGCAAATTTCCTGCATTTACTTCTATTTTCTGGCAAAAATGCTCACTGGGTAACTACTGCAAAAAAATGTTATAAAATTGGGTCTAGTCACATGATGAATGGAAACCCTCTTAATGACGGCAATGAATTATGACCCTAATTCTGGACTCAGTTACGGTTGAAAGTCAAGAACTACCTGTATAAATGTCTGAAGAATTCACATAAATTTAAAATGTATTTCTGGCAGGCTTTTTATATTCTCAGTTCTTTCAGTTATTTTTTTTTATAACTATCTTATAACTAGCAGCAACTGAAAAAGGAACTTTTCAAATATACCAAATCCTTGAGTATGGTACACCAATCTGTGTAGTGGCCAGCAGCCAGCAGAGCTGGCAGTAGATTCGGACAGTGAGGAGGTTGGAGAGGAACATGCGCCAGTCCTGGAGTCTGGGGAAGGCTCTGATGAGGGCTCTGTGTCAGAGGCAGAGAGGAGGCCAGGGCCGTATGACAGTTATCAGCTGCCTTCAGAGTCAGACATCAGTGAGGCAGATGAACAGCTGGAGCCTGTTCCCAGTGTGCGCATGCGCAGAGTGGCCAAACGAAGGGAACAGCTAAGGAACAAGGGTCAATTTTGGGAGTAAGGCCACAGGTGAACGATGAATGGCCCCTCCCAGAGGAAATAAAAGAGGAGCCAAAGGGGAGTGAAGTTTGCAGGAGACAATCTGTTTAATTGGTTCGTGACTCTCCGAGCCTCCTTGCCAAGTTTTGCAGAGATCGGCCTGGCAGCCCTCCAAGCCAGATAAGGTCT